CTGGAGGACATCAGCGTTCATTTTTTAAAGCTTGTTTTATTGTTTGTTGCCTAAGAAGCCACCCTCGAGATGAAGCAGCTTATTTATCTGGGTCTTGGATCCACACTCGACAGCATTTGGCAGGTGCGGCTTGTCCACATGGCACTGGCTGAGATGGTATGGTTCGGCGAGGACGACACCCTTACGAAGCTAGTGAGTGGGTGCTGGCTGTCAGCTCGGTGCTCAGTGGGGGATCGAGGATGGGGGCTTCCACTTCTCTCCGAGCGGCTGCCTGGGCTCCCACACAGCGAGGTAACTGGGTTCCAGGAGACTCACGGTTCAAGAGACCCAGGCATCACCAACAGGGCCCTTTCCGACTCTGCTCAAGTTCTGGTACATCTCTTCCACCGCATTGTTAGTTAAGTCACAGAGTCCAAATCATTGTCAAAGGGAGCGCGGCTAGATTTCAGCCCTCAAGAGGCACCTGGGTGGCTCAGCTGGTTAGATTTTAACCCTCAACGGAAGGAGAACTGAGCGCCCGCCGCTATTTTCGCCACGACGCTCCTGGCGTGCATTTGCGGTGGAGGGATGCATAAGGTCCCCACGGGTGCTGTAACAAGGACCGCAAAGTTGGGAAATGACAGACATCGATTCTCTCATAGTTCTGGAGGCCAGAAGTCCAAGTTCGGCAGCAATGGGATGAAGCCAAGATGTCAGCTGGACTGTGCTCCCTCCAGAGTACGTGTTCACTGTTCCAGCGTTTGGGGGCGTACACTCCTTAGCATGTGGCCACATCTTTAAATCTCTCTCTGCTCCATCTCTGCATTTTCCCTTCTCTGTGTGCACATGTCAAAGCTCCCTCCACATTTTATGACACGCTTGCACTGAGGGCCCACCTTCATAATCCAGAGCGATCCCCTAAGTTCAAAGTCCTCATTTTAATCACATATGCAAAGACCCTTTTCCCAATGAAGGTACTATTTATAGGATCCATAGTTTAGGACTTTGGGGGGTCATTATTCTGCCAACCAGAATAATGAAAACGGCTGATGTGAGCTTGTAAATCTGCCTCCAGGTCTTACTAAAGAAACTGCGTTTTCTTTTCAAAAAAAATATTTTCTTAATGTTTTATTTATTTCTGAGAGAGAATGACAGTGTGAGCAGGGGAGGGTCAGAGAGAGAGGGAGACACAGAGTCTGAAGCAGGCTCCAGGCTCTGAGCTGTCAGCACACAGCCCGACGTGGGGCTCTAACCCCACGTGGTTAGATCATGACCTGATCCGTCAGGTCCCGCGGAACCGTGGGATCATGACCTGAGCCGAAGTCAGACACTTAAACGACTGAGCCACCCGGGTGCCCTGAAACTGTGTTTTCTAAGTCATCCTGAATCAAAGGCATTGGGATGAAAGTCCGAAGCAGGGATGGGAGTGAACCACCTCGTATAATATCTGTGACAAAAGATCCATCAGCCAGAAGCACGCTGCTGGCACTGAAGGGGAACCACCATTTCCTTCAAGTGTTGGCCAGTTTTTCTTTTTCTTTTTCTTTTTTAAAGTAATGGCTTTATTGACATACAATTGATTGCTTTTTTTTTTTTTTTAACTTGACCAAAACCCTTTGACAAAATGAGCTTTAATGTATCGGCGTTTAAGGGGGTAGTTTGGGAACTTTAAAATGTATCTCATAGATCTGGAGCGCCTGGGTGGCTCAGGTGGTTAGGTGTCCAACTCTCGATTTCAGCTTGGGTCACGATCTCGCAGTTTGTGAGATCGAGCCCTGTGTTGGGCTCTGCAGTGACAGCAAAGAGCCTGCTTGGGATTCTCTCTCTCCCTCTCTCTTTGCCCTCCCCTGCTCGTGTACTTTCTCTCTCAAAATAAATGAACACTAAAATAAATACAAGAAGTATCTCATAGATTTTAAGAGCTCAGAAATGGGATAAACATGGAGAATCCCCTATTACTAAACTATTACTAAAATAACACAGGGGCTCAAGTGATGTAAATTCCTTTTTTCTGCCCCAAAACACTTGCTCACAACCTTGGGGTTCTGGTTCTGTTAAAGGCAGTTAAGATGCAAGCATCGGTAAGCTCACTGAACCTTCAAACAACTGTGTCAGGACCCCATTACCCTAAGCTGGGAAGCCTTCTGTTTAATTTAATGCTTAATACAAATTTAAAAAAAACTGTTTTAATGTTTATTTTGAGAGAAAGAGACAGAGCACAAGCAGGAAAGGGGCAGAGAGAGGGAGACACAGAATGGGAAGCAGGCTCCAGGCCCCGAGCTGTCAGCACAGAGCCCGACGTGAGGCTTGAACTCCTGAACTGTGAGACCATGACCTGAAGGCAGATGCTTAACCAACTGAGCCACCCAGGTGCCCCAATACAAAATTTAAAATACATAAACGTACCCACTTAGTGTGCCACGAGTAATTCACGCAGCACATGCCCTATACCCTAAAAGTAGATGGTGGCAATTTTCGGCTTTCAGTCAGAACGCAGAATGGGCATTTCATTTACAAAGTTCTTGAATGCCAGAACATCACCAGAGATGAGGCAGTTGCTTAAAATATCATCATCCAAGGGGCGCCTGGGTGACTCAGTTGGTTAAGTGTCCAACTTCGGTTCAGGTCATGATCTTGCAATCTGTGAGTTCACCCTGTGTCGGGCTCTGTGCTGACAGCTCAGAGCCTGGAGCCTGCTTCGGATTCTGTGTCTCTCTCTCTCTCTCTGCCCCTCCCCAGCTCGTGCTCTGCTTCTCTCTCTCTCTCAAAAATAAATAAACATTGGGGCGCCTGGGTGGTTCAGTCACTTGGGCCTCTGACTTCAGCTCAGGTCATGATCTCACGGTTCATGGGTTCAGGCCCCACGTCGGGCTCTGTGCTGACAGCTCAGAGCCTGGAGCCTGCTTCAGATTCTGTGTCTCCCTCTCTCTCTGCCCCTCCCCTGCTCGCACCCTGTGTCTGTCTCTCGAAAATAAACATTAAATAAATACATACATACATACATACATACATACATAAAATATCACCACCGGAGCTTCTGCATCTGCCTGTGTATTCTGGGGGCCAGTGGACTTTGTCCCAACATCTCGCATGGTGACTCTCCCGTGGATGGCATGTGGATTGCTTTTCACGGCTGCCCGGGACCAGACAGGTTGTCACGGAGGACGGAGCTGCGCACCTCCCACGCATGAGCACCAGGGCCGGGGCAGTTCTCCAGAACCCAGCCGGGCCGAGAATTCACCCCCTCGGCTACACGACCTTCACAAGGGAACGGAGTTGCTTCAGCTGAGATGAAACCCAAAACCTGAGGCACCGGCTAATATGTGCTCATCTGTATCTTCTCCATCTCTCTTGGGCTCTCTCTCGCAGGGCAAAGATCAGATTCTAAGTAAGCTCTTTTTTACTGATTTAAGGAATTTCCCCTGCTCCCTGCAGAGTCTAAGAAGCCCCAGTTTTTCTTCCTCCCCTTCGCTGGGGAATAACCAACCACACAGAGCAGGTTAACAAGACAGAAGACAGATTCAGAGGAAGAAGCTCTCGTGGGTAAGGAGGTAGGCAGCGGGGGGCGCCCGGGTGGCTTAGTCGGTTAAGCGTCCAACTTTCGCTCAGGTCATGATCTCGCGGTTCGTGGGTTCGAGCCCCGCATCGGGCTCTGTGCTGACTGCCAGCTCAGAGCCTGGAGCCTATTTCAGAGTCTGCGTCTCCCTCTCTCTCTGACCCTCCCCTGCTCACGCTGTCTCTCTCTCTCCTAGAAATAAATAAATAAAACATTTAAGAAAAAGAAAAAAAAAAAAGGAGGTAGGCAGGGATCCCGGCCCTTCTGAACAGGCCTCCATCAATCCACGACGCAGGTCTAGGTCCCCAGGGCCAGCGGCCACTCTGAAAGCAAGAGGGGCGGCTGGTAAGACGCAGGCACCTCTACAGCTCCTGTTTTTCAACCTTCCCTCCAAAGCCCTTCAGGTCAGATGCCTTTCAAGCAAGCGGCTCTTTCTGGCCGCCTCGTGATCTGTCGGGGAAGCGGAAGGTTGTGGCTGGTACGCTTCTGTTGTCTGAATTTCTGTCATTCCCTTCCAATGCTTTACGCGCCCGGTCTGTCTTGAAAGAGGAGTCGATGCATTTTATTTCACGGCAGCGATTTTCTGTTCTGAACCAAAATGTATTCAACTGACTCCCTGGAGTAATAATGAGACCCACTCCTTCTCTGAGACATTTTCTCGTTGACGCCCTTGGCTTGCTGCACGCGCAGTGCTCGACACGCACACCGGAGTGGCTGACCTCACCACGAGTCAGCTGTGCTTGCTAGAAAACATGCAGGTGCCCCTTTTATCTGCTTTGGGGATCCCACCAGGCAGTTATGCGTTATGTAAACCGATTTCATACTGGCGAAGAGGAGGGGCTCATTCCGATGCAAATTAAGTGAAATGCATTGACCAGTCTCCCGGTGTGGGGGTGGGGGAGGTATATATGTCCATCATAAAAGACAGGAAAATGTCTTAAAAGTGACAAGTGACATACAGACTGCGTCAAGTTGTAGGTTTTACTCTCGGTTATCAAGAGACCGAGCCTGGAAATGCTCAACCACGTGTTTGAGGTGCTATTCGTGCGAGAACGTTGATGAACAATGCATATGAACAGAGCCATTGTCAATGAGGAACCAGTTAGGATTCGAGAACTGACGTGCATTTATAAATTTGGAGTCAAAATATAAAGCGTGTTTCCGTATTTCTTTTAATCCCCCTTGTTGACCAACTTTTTTTTTTTTTGATAACTAATGAATACCTATCACAGCCAATATTTCGGGAGGTTACACTTACCTTTGCCTCTAAAACCAGGAAAATGAGCCAAGGGACTCAATACAAAAGCACAGAGGCAGACATCAAGCAGGAAGGAACAGCGTGATTGCTACAAATCACCCAAATTGCTGCCAGAGAGGGCGCCCGGCCCGGCAATCTGTTTCCATGTCACTCCCAGCCCCTCCCCGCTCCAACCCCCAACGCTGAGAAAGGGACGCTAGTTCATACCCATCCTTTTTGTAAAATTCCAGCATCATGTTATCCGTGGCGACGCTGAGGGGCCGGCGGATCTGCTCGGGCTGGCGCCGGTCAGCGGGGTCCATGTCTGGGGAGGGCATTGAGCTAAAGTTGGCGTTGTGGTTCACGTGTACCGGACTCCCGTAATTCCCTGTGATGTTGAACTCTATCTCTGTGGGGAAGAAAAGAATCGGTGTATGTGACCTACGGGTCTGTCACGCCCTTCCTGGGCAGGAAAGAGATGAGCAGAGATGGCCTCTCGTTTACACTTCACGCCTAGAAAACTTTGTCCTGTGGTTCAATGTTACGTCACCTGTGGATACGAATTCATCTTAATACAATTCATCAGATCAGCAGGTGAACACAAGTGCTCACCTCTCACATTAATAGGATGGGCCCCGAATGAAGCAATATCTATCTGTAATTTTAAAAAACAACTTAAACCAGGAACAGTTGGGGTACTTTCTGAGAAAGACAAAGTCATCCATCTCAAACCTCACGGTTAAAAGTGAAACACCAGAGTGGTCTTAATCAAATCAGGAGAAAGGACAATGCCCACAATCACCACTGTTACTTAATGCTATCGGAGAAGTGCTAGCCAATGCAATAAGTCAAGAAAACAAACTAAGAAGAAAGATTATTATTTGTAGATGATGATGTGGTCTTTCTGGAAAACCAAAGAGAACTAGAGATTGGAACTAGAAATTTCACTAAGGTCACTAAGGTTGTGCTGGCAATCAAGTGATACACAAAAGTATCCCAAACTTTCCTCGCCATTTCCTATCTGCAACAGAAATAAATCCACTCATCCACAAACTTAGTGTTCTGCCTTTTTAGACTCCTTGTCCCTTCTTTCTTCACCCTGATTTCCTACCCTCACTCAACTTGCTGTTATCAACACACCTCTTAGGACATTAGCAGTGAAGAGCTTTTATGGTCAAAACGCACAAAACCAAGTAAACACAATCAAACTTCTTCGATGTTGATCATCTGAGTGGTGACTTCTGATGGACACAGCACAGAATTATTAACATTCTATCCTCACATGAGCTAAATAGTTTACTGTAGCAGAGCCAAAAGCATACCCTGAATGTTTACCAAACACAAGTACCCTTTTTCTGAGAACGCACACTGAATTTGGTATAGCAACCACTGTCTCCTAAAAGCTGTTACCTTCCAGGGTCAGACACTTCTGCAATGGTGTCTCCGTGGCCAGGAATGTTTACCAAGTACCATCTGAGGGAGCTGTCTTTACAGCCTCATTTGGAACCGGAGACCAAAAAGAACCTCATTGCCTTTAAGTCTTACCTTTATATGTTGAGGGCAACTCAAAGGACACACAAAAGAAGAGGAAAAAGATAACACCCAAGGGATTGTTGAGCCCTGAATAAAAGTTCACGTCCGTCTCAGATCTATGTGGCATCTATAAAAGCATTTCATGATGCACAGATTTGAAGACACCACATTATGCATGTTAGACAGGTAACATCCACAGACAAGCTTAGTGCAGGCAGGGGACACCTATGGCCATATGTCACTCAGCCAAGGATTAGACAGTAAGGAACTGCCAGGGCTCTCCATAGTCTACTTGAGGAGGGAGGGAGGGAGAGGGAGGGAGGGGGAGGAGAGGGAGAGAGAGAGAGAGAGAGAGAGAGTGTGTGTGTGTGTGTGTGTGTGTGTGTGTGTGTGTGTGTGTTGGAGGAGAATTAATAACAAACACTTTTGGTTTCAAAAGTTGCAAGGGGTGCCTGGGTGGCTCAGTCGGTTGAGCGTCTGACTCTTGATTTTGGCTTGGGTCACGATCTCACGGTTTGCGAGTTCGAGGCCCACATCGGGCTCTGCGCTGACAGTGTGGAGCCGTTTGGGATTCTGTATCTCTCTCCACCCCCTCCTCCTCCCCTCTCTCTCTCTCTCTCACAAAATAAACTAAAACAAAACAAAACAAAAAAGGTTTGAACGGGCAGGAACACTTCTTCCTTCTCCACCCCCACACCGCAATGTCGCCACGTACCTCCAGGGAAGAACCAGTCTGCGTGCTGGATGATGGGTTCGATGATCCCAACGATCTGCAGGGACACCGTGGTCATCATCTCCGTGATGTTCCTGTGAGCGCAGAGCAGAGGGGGTCAGGGCTGGGTGATCGGGCGAGGTGGGGAGGCACGTCTGGCCCCGCAGCCCAGGACCGGAAGCCTGCGGACCTAGGTCTGACAGTAGGCTTTCTCTACACAAGGGCACTTGGCCTTTTGGGACCTCTCTTTCCCTTCTACAGAAGGGGGCACCCACAGAAGGCCTCCTTATGGGAGATGCGTAAATGGGTAATATACACGAAACCGTCTGCTCTCCAACTCTGTTCTCTCTTTCAAGACAGCCCTCTATCCCCTGGGTCCGGATGCTGGGATGTGCACTCTTCACAGAGTCAGGAGGGCCTGGAGAAGTTGGCCTGGCCTGGTGCTGACTCAGATTAGCTCAGGGAAGACCCTCACCACAGACCCGTAGCTCTGAGACCATCACGGAGAAGGAGCTACAGAATTCTGAGTCTCCTCCTAAGCCTGAAGCCTGGGCAGGCCAAGAGAGAAACAGGACTTGACAAAAAAATGAGGTTGATCTGAGGTTGATGACATATCCCGCCCCCCCCATTCCTTACTCATATATGGGCTCTGCCCTGTACTCACCCTTCTGCTTGCGGCCACAGGAGGTTGGGGCCTAACACAATGGCCATGTTACTGGGCGTCATCTTGTTTACATCTTGAAATTCTGACAGCTTGGATAAAAACTTGATCAAGTATCTGAAAGGGAGTCAGAAGGGCCAGGCTCCACCAGGGCTCTACCCCCGCCATGCTCCCCCAGCACAGGGCAGACTCTTCTCTCCCGTAGCCCATCTTACGGACAACCAGACTCATACATCCCGCCTTATAATGAAGACGCAGCACGCATCAGGACACGAGGGAGCTTTACGGACAGACGGACTCAGATCTCACTCGGCTCCCTGTCAACATCTCCGTCAGTTACCCCTGGCCGGAGAATACCCCCTCTTTCCTTTCGACTCCATTATCGGCGACCTACAGTGCCTCCTGTTCTTCAGACCTCAGTCACCCGCCACCCTCCCGTGTGCAGAGGTGACAGGCAAAGGGTCCAGAGGTCACCGGCAGGGACCTCCACATGCTCGGGGTGGGATTACCCTCAGGGGGGCTTTGAGGGCTCATGGAAAAAGAAGTTAAACATAGAACTAGCACGTGAGCCAGCCATTCGCTCCCACAGATGTGCCCAAGAGCAATACGTGCATGTACACACTTGTGCACAGGAGCTCACGGCGATATCACTCAAGTCGGCCAGAAAGCGGAGGCCACCCTAACGTCCAGCAAGGGAGGACAGGCTAAGTAAAAGGCGGTCCCTCCACACAATGCAATACTAGGCACCCACGAAAATGAACGAAGGAATACTGACACACGCTACCGCGTGGAGGAGCCTTAAGGACGTTATTGAGGACGTTATGCTACGTGAAAGGAGCTGGACGCAAAAGACCGCGTGGTGTAGGGGTCCCCCTGAACAGAGAAGGCGGAGCAGTGTCTGCCAGGGGCTGGGTTGGGGGAGACAACAGGGAGTGACTGCTAATCGGGGTGACTGAAATGGCCTAAAACTCAGTGGTGATAGTTGTGTGACTCTACAATCCCTCCAACAACTGCGAAACTGCACACTTCAAGAGGACACAGTGGTATGTGACTTCCATCTCAAGAAACTACTAAAGGAGCCCTACGGTAGATGGCTCCTGGGATCTTTTGTTAATGTTTGTTTGTTTATTTAGGGAGAGAGAAGACACATGTGAGCAGGGGAGGGGCACAGAAAGAGGGCACGAGAGAAAATCCCAAGCAGGCTCTGTGCTGTCAGTGTAGAGCCCAACGTGGGGCTCAGTCCCACAAACTGTGAGATCATGTGTGATCGGACACTTAACCTACTGAGCCACCCAGGCGCCCCATACCTGTTGTAAAATATACATGAAAAGTACCCTCTTGATAATTTTCAAGTGCATAGTCCAGTCACTAATTAAGTGCCTTCGCACTGACAAGCACCCATCACTGCCGTCCGTCTCCAGATCTTTTTCAGCTTCCAGAACAGAAGCCCTGTTCCCATTAAACGCTAACCTCCACTCATGTCCCCCTCCCCCAGCCCCTGGAAACACCCTTCTACGTTCTGTCCCTGTGAAAGTGATGACTCCAGGTACCACATACGTGTGGAATCACACAGAACTGGGCCTTTGGCATCTGGCTTCTTCCATTTGGTGGCACGTGCCAGAATTCCCTTCCTAAAAAGGCTGAATATTGCAGTGTATGTATCCTTTGTATCTTTTACCCATCGACGGCCACTAGGGCTATTTTCGCCTCTTGGCTATTATAGATAACGCTGTCGTGAACACGAGCGCGCGACCATCGAGTCCCTGCTTTCAAAAATCCATGGGGCACATCCAGATACACCCAGACGTGGAACCGTGGGCTCATATGGTAATTCTGTGTTTAATTAAGGGTCCGCCGTACCGCCGGCTCCCGGGTTGTTAACGGGAAGGCGGAAATACTCAGGCAGATGGCGACAAGCTGAAAATCTGCGTCTAGGGAGGCACGGAGGAGAGGTGGTGGGGCCGGGAGAAGGTGCTGGCGAGCCAGAGGGAGGAGGAGGCAGAGGGTGTGAAGGAGCAAAGAAGATGCATAGAGCGGCGGGAGGCGAGATCCGAGGCGTAGAGAGAGGAGTGAGAGACGTGTAGAAAATAGCTGGTGGGGGGCTGAGCAGCAGAGACGTTCTGGCCACGGCTCCCGGTTTGCTCAGTCTCCTACAGGTGCGCCTGGACACCTACCTTTGCGATAAACCCACGAGAGCTTTTCTTTTTCTTTAATTTTTGAAAAAAAATGTTTAACGTTTATTTATTTTTGAGAAAGAGAGACAGAGACAGAGCGTGAGCAGGGGAGGGGGAGAGCGAGAGAGGGAGACACAGAATCGGAAGCAGGCTCCAGGCTCTGAGCTGGCTGTCAGCACAGAGCCTGATGCAGGGCTCAAACCCACGAACCGTGAGATTGTGACCTGAGCCGAAGCCAGACGCTCAACTGACCGAGCCACCCAGACGCCTCTTTTTCAAATTGTTTTTAAATGGTTGGTTATTTTTAATTTACACCCAAGTCAGTTAGCATCTAGTGCAGTGACGATTTCAGGAGCAGAACCCAGTGGCCCATCCCCTACGTATAACACCCAGTGCTCATTCCAACAAGTGCCCTCCTTACTGCCCCCCACCCATTTAGCCCATTCCCCACCCACAGCCCCGCCAGCAACCCTGAGTTTGGTCTCTGTCTTTAAGAGTCTCTTCTGTTTTGTCCCCCTCCCTGGCTTTATATTACTTTTGCTTCCCTTCCCTTATGTTCATCTGCTTTATACCTTAAATTCCACACACAAGTGACATCCTGTGATATTTGTCTCTCTCTGACTGGCTAACGTCACTCAGCATAATACCCTCCAGTTCCATCCACGTTGCTGCGACTGCAAGATCGTAAAATAGGTTCCGTGAAGCTTTGCTTGTCACAAATCAAAGGACGTAACGGCATGAGCCAATGGCCGCCCAAGTCCCAGAGTGCCCTTCATTCCGTTTCTTTGTCTGCAAAATGGCGGGGTTGTGTGAGGTTGAAAAGAGCGTCTGCGCATTAACGGAACCCTGACACCCCGTACGACGCCGAGCTTGCTGGTCACCGTGAGCTTTAGCCGGGACACTGTATGTCTGTAGCTCCAATAACCCTGATCCCGGGTCTCCGGGACCCATCCACTTACCGGATGTTGTTGTGATTGGCCTTGGGCAGTTTTTCACAAGCATTCCACAGCGCCTGAAGCCTCTTGTCTTGCTCCTGAATACTGGGAAATAAACCAGAAAGCCACTGGGTGAGTACCAATCGATGAAACGTCACTGGTGATCGCACTAACTGGTCACTGCCCTCTTTCGGTGTAAGAAGAACTATCGGGGTGCCTGAGCGGCTCAGTTGGTTAAGCATCCGACTTTGGCTCAGGTCAAGATCTCACGATTCGTGAGTTCGAGCCCCGCGTCTGGCTCTGTGCTGACAGCGTGGAGCCTGCATGAGATTCCCTCTCCCTCTCTCTAAATAAATAAATAAATACACACATACACACACAGATAAAAGAAGCCAACTATCATGACTGACACTATCAGCAAGCTATTACTATTCAAGGGCTTAGTCACTACTATTTCCCTCTTTGTGTTCTCCGTCTTGTTCTGGAAGCTTCCACTGCACCAGTCACTTGTCTCAGGTGAACGCATGCTAAGGTAGCGGGCGGGGCAGAAGGACAGAGCCAGACACCTGATCTAGAGTAAGTGAGGGGTGGGTCCTGTCAGGAGGCAGAATCAGGCAGAGAACCTGAGATACAACAGAACAGGCTAAGAGGTCAACCCACTTTCACACCAGGGGGCAGGCAGCCTGCTGTCCAGTCCGACAGGTATTATTTAAGGCATATTAAGTCCCTTAGCATCTGCCACTTAATAGATGTTCAATACATACCTTTTGAAAAGGAAAATTATATGAGCTCAATATACACTTCAGGAAATTTGACTTTCAAGATCTAACTTAAGGATGGATAATTTCCATGAGCTGAAGATTCTCCACACTACAAAAGGTCCACTCCCAAGGTTTAATTTATATTTTATTTTATTTTTAATTGTTTTTTACTGTACTTTGCCTTTTATTTTATTTTTTATTTTTTTATTTAAAATTTTAACATTTATTTATTGTTGAGTGAGAGAGAGACAGGGTGTGAGCTGGGGAGGGGCAGAGAGAGAGGGAGACACGAATCTGAAAGAGGCTCCAGGCTCCGAGCTGTCAGCACAGAGCCCGATGTGGGGCTCAGACCCACAAACCAGGAGATCATGACCTGAGCTGAAGTCGGATGCCTAACTGACTGAGCCACCCAGGCGCCCCTAATTTACTTTATTTATAAGCCCTCTAAGAATGAAAAGAAATTACATCTAGGACTACATTTTGTATACGTTTCTCCTGAAAATCTATACCAAGGCTTACATGGCTAAGAAGGCCTTTCTTTTCAAAGAGTCTTTTCTCCAGAAAATCTAAAAGGGACAATGTCAGCAGGGTGACGGCCCAGCTTTGACCCTTGACCTGGGGCCCAAGGCAGGGAGGTCCACCCACAGAGCCTCCCCGAGGCAAGAACAACTCTCTTTTCCCTCATTTCAGGCTTGGGGAAGAGGTAAGCGTTCTCCAAAACACATTTCTACTAGGAAACTGAAGACCCCACCGATGAGGCTTTACTAACTTCTAGGCTTTCATTATTCGAAAGAACACTAGCATCGGCAACCTTGTCCATGCCTCTTTGGGTACATATTCCAGTCCCTCGCCATGATATACAGCAAGAAGCACAGTCATAGTATCGTAGGCTACGTAAGCGTTCGTAAGGCACACATAGGCTTTCATAATTTCAATACTTAAATCAACTCCAACCAACAGCACACTCCAAAAATGTGGCATACTCACTTGGAAGCCTGAATCCACTCGTCATAGAGTTCAAAGGTCATAAGAGGTTCTGGCAACTCTCGGAGGTAAGATTTCAAAGCTCCTGGACACAAAGACAGTATTGGCTATAGGCCACTTGACATTGGTCAGGACACGTTCTACCAGCCTGCATCACCCACGTGGGTTACATCTGGGGATGGGTTCCCCGGGCCCTCAAGCCAAGATCAAACAGTGGTTTCCCATGTGAATGGGCTGGAGGCTCTGGCATGGCGGTGGGACCTGGGCTTCTAGTCGCGTTGGCTCCCCCTCTTATTTCCCATCAGCATCTCGTCCTCTCTTGGCTCACTGGGGAGAATTTTCTTCAAGGGCCCCTCGCAACCAGCCTTAAAACTGAACCCTGAGTAGATACATCTGAGCATTCTGGGAATCCACTGGTTCAAGTGTCACATGACCACACACCCTCCATGCTGACCCCTTCCCCGGGAGCCTCTACAGCCCAAGGGAGCGCCTTGCTAAGGGGTGGTGGGTGCCCACCTGCAATTGCGTGGGGGTCTGCTGAGTACTCCTGCACATCCACCACACAGCAGTCCAGGGCGGCTTTCAGCTTCTTCAACTTGGAGGCGGACGGCGCCACCCGGAAGAGTCCCTGCCGACAGCACAGAGAGTCAGTGCACAGTGTCATAACTCAAGGGAAGGGCGGGAGAGCAAAGCGAACAAACAGGAAGTCTCCCCACTCCCTTCCTCTGAAATCTCCTTGATGCGTTCTGCCCATCACCATCTTCCAATATGGTGGCTGCCTGCTCTCTGAACGTCTCCTCCTTTGGTCGAAAGCAATTCTGGAGCAGGGACTGAGCCTCACCCACTGTTGTGCCCCCAGTGCCCAGTGTGGGGTGACTCGTCATTCTGATTCAGTAAGTATTTGTTGAATTAACGAGCCCTGGGCATTCCAGCTTCTTGTTCTTTTTAAGACATATTTTGGAGAACTGATACGTGATCAGACATGGAGCCTAGGAAGTTCAATACGACAGGCCTATAGTGTCAGTGAGTGTGTGTGAGTGTGACTGTGTGTGTTTCGGGAGACACAGGGCCGTCCTCAGGGGTCGGGCAAACTAGGGACGGCCTGGGAGGGAGCGATGCCTCCTTCGGACCTTCCGTGTTTCATTCTTAGAGTTACTTCCGACTCAGTGTCCCCTCTTCCAAGTGAACTGCTGAGCTCTGTACAAACGTGAGCTCTGAAGAGAAAGAGAACAGGGATGTGCTGAGGGGCTGCTACAGGTCAGAGTTAGACGCACACCCCGTCACATGTGGACTGAAATGCTACTGGCTTCAGCTTCAGCTTCTCACCTCCTTGCATTCGGAGACGCCAAGCCCAGGCTGAGAAACGGGCTGGCAGAAGAGACCTTGCTCTTTCAGCCCTTTGTGGCCGCCGTGCTGATCTCCCAGTTTTCTTCGGAAGAAAATGTTCCTGGTCTGAAATACTGACTTTCTGGCCTGCTAAGATCACGGACTCCCTTCTATGTAGATGTCCGAAGCTCTCTGGCACGTGTGCAAGGAAGCTCCTTACACACGTTTGGACTGGTGCATCAATAAGGCTGCTGTGACCAGGAGCAGGCTACAGCATATGTTAAAGAAACAGGCTGGAGCATAAAGCCATGCCTCTACCGTGGAGGAAAGCCAACAGCACTTGGTGATGGACAGCACAAGGAGAAGGGCGTTGGGCTGTCAAGTAGAAGCCTATAGATTTTTTATTGTATTCCTGAAAAAAAATTTTTTTTAAATGTTTATTTCTGATGACATGATACTCTACATAGAAAACCCGACAGACTCCACCAGAAGCCTACTAGAACTGATCCAAGAATTCAGCCAAGTTGCAGGGTACAAAATCAACGTACAGAAATCGGTTGCATTTTTATACACCAATGATGAAGCAACAGA